GGCCTTTTTAATTCTCGAAGGAATCCTTGAACTTTGGTTAGGTAAAACATCGTTTGTACTAGAAATGGCTTCCTGTTGACAGATTTTTTTGGTGCCAAGGAAAAAAAATTGTTGTAGTGCGAACGGAGCCTTTGACTACAATTTTCAAGTAAAATATTTCAGTCACGACCTGTGTCTAATCAACGGAAAGATTTATGCCCGAAAAAGGCGTTAAACAATAAACAAGGGATTAATCTGTTATCATACAATTCTTATTTTGCAGTCCTGAATCCTTGCTCGTTTGTTGCTTGAAGTGCTCCATCGAATACGGTCACCTTTAGCTTGCAGAAATTAGAGGTTTTGGTGTTAATGTCTTTAGGTTTTTAATTTATCGACATTTGCAGTACTGTTTGGTAATGACAGTTTTCTTAATTTTACTACGGTTTGTGAAACGTCCTATTCAAATACTTTACAAGAGTCTCTTTTAAGGTTAGGGTTGAAAAAATTGCCATGTTGCTGACATTGTCTTTACAGGTTTGGCATAGCTTTTGCGGTGATTGTCAGTTTACAATGACTTTGCTGTGAACAGTTGTCTTTTACCTTGTAAAGCTTTCGCAGCGATTGCCCTGCCCTCGTTTAAGTATGATTTAAGTGTGGGGTTGGACTTAAAAAAGGACTTTTGCTGAAATTGTCTTTACAGGTTTCGCAAAGCTTTTGCGGTGATTGCCAGTAATGGCTTTTGCTGTGAACAGTTGTCTTTTACCTTGTAAAACTTTCGCAGCGATTGCCCCTCGTTGATGTATGATTTAAGTGAGAGGTTGGACTTATAAAAGGACTTTTGCTAAGATTGTCTTTACAGGTTTCGCAAAGCTTTTGCGGTGATTGCCAGTAATGGCTTTTGCTGTGAACAGTTGTCTTTTACCTTGTAAAACTTTCGCAGCGATTGCCCCTCGTTGATGTATGATTTAAGTGAGAGGTTGGACTTATAAAAGGACTTTTGCTAAGATTGTCTTTACAGGTTTCGCAAAGCTTTTGCGGTGATTGCCAGTAATGGCTTTTGCTGTGCACAGTTGTCTTTTACCTTGTAAAGCTTTCGCAGCGACTGCCCTGCCCTCGTTTGTGTACAGTATGTTGCCCAGTATCCGGACACTTCAGTTTAACATTGCAATAACTTTCCTTTGTTGGTCGCAAGAGCTCTGAAATTTGGCCCAGAGATAATCTCTTTAGTCCTTAATATGACAAAAGACAGTTTAACTTTTTTGCCTTTGGTTCCATCGGGAAATTAATATTTTTGCAGAGCTCCTATGTTGCCCAGTATCCGGACAGCTGGCCCAGTATCCGGACACAACAATAGCAACGTAATTGTTCATAAATTTCGACAGGCAAGCGACTTATAAGCTTCTCTTGCACTTGCTAAGTAGTCTCGCAATCGATTCCAAAAATATAACCTAGCATCGTGAAATAAAACATAACAAATGACTGGGGTATGGTGGGGAACGCGAGCGGTTTTCTTACTTCCTTGTCTAGGAACTTTTTCACTGATTTAAGGAAGGCATCCGTGGACGTGCCGAAGCCGCGGTTTGCTAGCTCAATTACCCAATCTGCAAACGAATTTCTTTTTTTTCTTTATTGAAAAAAAAAAAGCTTGGCGAAGGGACCTCAATGCGACGGTGGAAGGTCACTCTCCTATTTAGTCTGACCTGCAGTGTTGATTTCTTCATGCTCAGTCCCTAAAGACACTTCAATAAGCCTGCTTTTCTAGCACTAATTCCTCCTTCTTTCACATCTCTCAAGCCCTTTGAGACATTTTTCAGACCGTTGCAACCCCATTCTAGCAGTCACAACTGGGGAAAGTATGAGAATTCCAGGTTCAACTCCGACGGTTTCGGTTATATAGAGAAAATGCAGTCACGCGAAACAAGAGGCGCACACGAAATCAAGTCGCCTCGGAATGAGTGAAGGAAATTTCCGTACGGAGTTGAGTAGAATTCCATTTTACGACTATATCATATATCCTAAGCTTTAATTATACTTATAGATATGAAATAAATCTTATCCGCATAATGTACACGGCTAATTCATCGATTCTGTACAGCAAAGAAAAAACTGTCCGAATACTGGGCACCTGACATCAATACTTAGTGAATGTCACCTGGGCTCCGTTATTCCAAACAAATCGAATAATAAACTTTCTGAGAACCTGACTTCTTTAAGTATCTTCACGTTAAATATAAAACCGTTTCTTTGAAAATATGACATATTACCAACCCTTTTGTGAGCAGCACTAATTTTACTGCGCAGTAAACAGCGTAAATATTAGCCATGAAATGTTTATTCACCTGAACAGAACGGCGTCTTCTGCGACTGTTTCGCAAGCTTTCAACTCGCCAAAACCTTCATCTTAAAGCTGAAATGTTCTGCTTTCATTCGAAATACTTCGTTTACCGATAACTGAAAAGGGCGCCTCAAAAATTGAGTTTTTGTTTTAAGTGCCGGATACTGGTACCGTCCGGATACTGGACAACATACTGTATGATTTAAGTGTGAGGTTGGACTTAAAAAAGGACTTTTGCTGAAATTGTCTTTACAGGTTTCGCAAAGCTTTTGCGGTGATTGCCAGTAATGGCTTTTGCTGTGAACAGTTGTCTTTTACCTTGTAAAACTTTCGCAGCGATTGCCCCTCGTTGATGTACGATTTAAGTGAGAGGTTGGACTTATAAAAGGACTTTTGCTAATATTGTCTTTACAGGTTTCGCAAAGCTTTTGCGGTGATTGCCAGTAATGTTCTTTGCTGTGAACAGTTGTCTTTTATCTTGTGAAGCTTCCGCAGCGATTGCTACTTTTGAAGGATTACGGTCTTGGGCTGCATACTAAGTAAATCCAAGTTGGCGAGTAATAATACGTAGTTATTATAGTAACGTAGTAATTTACCGTTGTATTTTTAGATATGGAAAGCCCTAACAAAGACTACATGGATACCCATCTGAATGTGAAGAGGAGTCGGTATGCAGAAAAGGAAAGTGAAAGGTATGCCGGTGATTGAATTTATTTCTTTCTTATCAAGGTACTTAAAGACTGTTCGACTAACAATAAATTTGTCTTTACTTTCGTTTTTTTGTTGCCCCTCCGATTGCTATCAGTGTATTAGCACACTGTGAACAAAATCTCAAGCAGTTTTATTGTTCTATTTTGCCGTAGCATTGAGTGATGAAAGCAAAAAATAAATAAAAGATAAGAGTAGTATATTTAAAATCCTTCCCAAGATGTGAGGTTAGTTTGCCTAATGCCCAACATTAAATATATTCTAACCACTGGGTATCCTTTTAAACAATTTGATTTGACATGGGAGAGAAGTGGGAGGAACACACAGCGTTTCTCTTAAATAGATAGAATAACAAATATCGGTTATCTTTTACCCACAGAGATGATGTAGGTGGTGATGGAAAGGACACTGAGAGTAGCTGAATGAAGGTTTTAAAGCTTGGGATAAGTGATAAGTACATTACTTTCTTTTTCAGCATATCAAAAAAACTCACAAAAACAAGCAAATTGCTCATCACCAGCGAAGTGAAAACGATGAGATACGGTATGTCTGGAAACCTATTCCTTGGAAAGAACTTAACTCAACACTATTTGTATTCGCCAGGATACCACTAAGCTTTCGTTGAGTTAAATTTTTTCGTATCACCTGGATAAAATGGCTCAATTTATTTTCCTGGCTGGCTAAATGTCGGTTATTTTTTTTTGCTGGCAAAAAAGGGAAGAAAGAGACATTCCTGGCTAGGGACATGCCTTTTTGGTAAAAATCCTGGCTGGGAAAAGCCCTTAAGGTAAAGATCCTGGCTGGATATTGTACTTTAAAATCTAGCTCTAGCTGGCTTTGGGGAGCGGATATAACTTTGCCAGGGAAGTTAATAATCAACCAAAAAACAATTAGTGACTGTTAAAATATTACTGCATGGGAGCGATATCCAATCACTTTTGAAATTTTTCTCGTTGGGTACTTCTGTCTATATCTTCTATATAGAAATCTTGAATCGCCCCTCAGCTTCGTTCCCTCCCTCTATCAAAACAGATATTTCTATCACACGGAAGATCCTCGCCAGTGGAATACTATCATACTTTTTAACTAATAACTAAGATAGTACACGCGTTCTGGTTGGTTAAAAACCTATCCTTTATTGTGCCGATAAACTCATATTTTATAGTAGCAATAGAACCATAGAAAGCAACCCATAGAAAGTGTGGTCTATTGCTTAAATCAAGTATCAAGTAACATGTTTATGAATAATACGTACCGTACTAGTTATCGATGTATCTTACGTTTATTAATGGCGGTTTTGTGTGTTCAATTTGAATTTTTGTGTACGTTGTTATGGCCATAAACTAGTTATAGCTATCTCTAAATTCCACTCAACGAGAAAAAATTTTACCTATTATACGCGCGCTGTTCATTTTGTTTAGAAATGTCGTGAATTACGGTACAGTAATTTACGACAAAAAAGTGTGAACTCAATTCGATTGCATAAGCGAAAATTGCCTAGAAAATAGTGAACTAAACTGTTCTGCAGCACAAAGAATTTGAAATCCAACATTTACATAGCATAATATTTTTCTTATATTCTTTGTTCTACATTACGTCATAAAAGTTACCTCACACTACCTTAGTTACATCTCTTCGAGATTTATTCCGCCTTGGAACGTTCGCTCGAAAACAAAGCATTCCCTGTTCTGCATTACGTTACTGTAAAAGTTACCTCACACTACCTTATGTTACATCGCTTCGAGATTCATTCTGCCTTCACTTGGAACCTTCGCGCACGGCTTTATTATGCTGCCGCCTCGTGAGGCTGCTCGTTGGCCATTATGTTGAACGAGGCGAATGTAATGACCAACAAAAACAAGAATGAATATTATAATGGCTTTCGCTATAGCCGCGGACACCATTCTATTACGGACAGCAGCCAATTCCACGAAACCACCTCCAAAAAAAGCTGCATGTAGTGGCAGACTTACAAGAGTTAAGTCGTTGTCTCGTAAAGTACTTCAACATCAGTGGGAGTGAAGTAGATACTGGATCCACCTGCATAAAATCTACAGGAACGACCATATGCATAGTATCCAGGGGGGAGGTGGTAGGTGTAGCCACAGTAGGTGTAGGAATTGCGGTTGCTTGCAGCGTTGCTGGATATGTATAGGTCGTGTCCGTTACCAAAGGATGGTCCCCTATTAGAACATGTGTAAATAGCGCGACTGTAACGACTTGACTTGATGTTCACCTTAACAGGAGTGTAGCCATTGATGTTATATAACGAGAACAGGAACGATTTATTTGAATAGACATTACGACAAGAACCTGTGGGAAAACATTTTTCAGATATTAGTTGAATTGATTAAAAATGTTTTAAAAACTTGATTACACGTCATAGCTACACTAACGCTATAAATTTTTACTATTAGAATCAGGCTTTGTGTATAACAAACATAAGAGGACCAAAGACAGTAGGGTTCCAGGATCTATTTCAATGCTAGTTAGCCAATTATATCAGTCAAAATTGGAAAGGTAACCACCAAACCCAACAAAGTGCGACTTCAAATAATGTTTTTTTTAGCTTTGCCTCTAATTCAGGGGACTTTGGTTATTTTGCTAGCAGGGAAGAGGTTAGATCAAAGGAAACCGTGATACTTTCGTCAGTAGGGGACTGAAACACCTCAAGTACTTTAGGGCCTGGGTCTAATGAGTTGTTATTAATCAGGTGTAATGCCACGTCTTTTAGTAATCCGCGAAACTACCTAAAAGTCCCAAGAGACCCGCCCACGTGTCAAGTAAAGAAGAAACCGGTAATTACTAACTAAGAGACGTAGCTGCAGTAGAACCGGGTTTTCATCACAGATACTGGGCCATCTGTCCACTCGTAGCGTATTTGAATCGTTTTTTCCAGTCTACGTTTTTTGCTTTTGTTTTTGCCAGTCTACTTGAAAACGCTAAACATGTCCTGTGTGCGATTAAGGCCGTTCTGAACTGATACATACCACCCCAAGACTTATCAGTGTATCCACCAAATATGTAACTACCGACTTGGACTATGGTTACAGTGGGACCCCTTCCATCACAGTAACTGTGGAATGTTGATGCCGCCCAACCATCTGTCTTAGCGTGCCAACACCTAACAAACAAGCTGGGAACTGGACTCTGAAGGACTGGGTCTAAATAGGAATTCAGCTTGTCAAGGTACTTGCTGTCGAGGCTGCCAAGAATGCTGGATGAAGAGATACGGCGTCCTTCAAAAGATAACACAAACCAAAACAGACGCTGTGACAATTATGTATATTACTACAAAAAAGAGCAGGGGTGCTTACTAATCAAGCTTAAAATAAAAACCGTTCATTTAAACGGCTTCAGAACTTTGTTCTAGACCCAGTCCACCAATTCCTTGCCGTCCTCCATTAAAAGCCACCCAACTCTGAAACATACTCCGTACCTTCACATAAGGTAACTTTTTAAGATATATACCTCTTATTAGCCGAGTTTTCAGTCCGTACTGTAAATTACGGACCGAGTTTTTTCCATCGATTTATGGCCCAAGCGCGAAGCGCGCGGGCCATAAATCGATGAAAAAAAAAAACGAGGATCCGTAATTTACAGTATGGACCGAAAAAACGAGGCTAATGAGATGTTTATTATATGGCTTCTTCCTGTTTGGGGTCCGGAAACAAGTGCAGGACGCACGATTTGACAGTCATTTGACAGGCGTCAAAAAAGAAAGTTTTTATTGGCGCACGAAAACAATAGCACATAACAAAGGCTTTCCGAGAAAGTAAAAACAAATTCGCCATGTTGAAAAAGTTTATTCGGTCAAAACTAAGAGCTCTGTAAGTTTTAGCTCTTAAATGTAACGCTGGAGTATTTTGGAAACCGGACACTGTGTCTGTCTAGAAGTGGTTTCCATTTTCTTCCGTTTGTCCTTGTGAAAAAACACTGCAAAAGGCAAAGAAGCTTTTCAAGGTAAGTTTGTTGTCATTGTCAAAGGATTCGCTTCCCAGTCCTCAGGAAGGGGCACCCAACGACAATTTTCAGAAAAATATCTGTTCGGAAGACGATTTGAGATCTAGAATTTTCGGAACATTTGTTGTAAAATTTCTTGCTTGCCTGCCTCTCCTAGGATTTTCGGACATCTAAAAAATGGTATAATTGCCTATTTTTAACGGATTTTTACCCTAAAAAGGTCACCTAGAATTTTCGGGAGCCTTTTTTCTGGCTAAAATTTTCGAAAAGGTAAGTTTTGATCCCTATAATTTTCGGATCACTTGACTTTCAGCTAGGAAATCCGAACAGATGAAAAATTTTTAGGGGATAAAAATATGCCTATATCTACCGTTTAAATAGTAAAATACGTTTAACAATTCTATGTTTAAGTGGTTTTGAACTATATTCTCGTTGGGTGCCCCTGCTCAGGGTTTACATACATATTTCAAAGTTTATTCGGTGGAAACTAAGAGCACTGTAAGTATTCAGTCGTTAATATGACGCTGGAGTCTTTCGAAAACTGGACATTATTGTGACTGTCTCGAACTCGCTTCTATCTTTCTTTCGTTGGTCTTTGAAAAAGCACACTGCAAATGGCAAAGAAGCTTGTCAAGATGATTGGGTGCAGGTATGTTTTTTATCATATTTGTTGAAGGAATTACTCATTTTCTTTTAGGCAAAACATCTCGAATCTCTGCCAGTCGATTTTCGTCTTCTTAAGGACGATGCCCACTAATGGGAAGTATTTTTTCCCAGACAATGACTATGTGAGACAACTAGATCATATCAACGGCTGTTGAAATCCAAAAAGGAAACTGGGGGTAACCACGCATTTTTCAGAGATAACTGCGCTTCAATATGGAGAAAAACGCTGAATGGGCTTTTTTTAGAGAAATGATAAAAAGTTATTTTTTCGCCAAATTTCAGAGTGTACAAGTGAACTGGCACAAATGCAATGACAATATTGTAACAAGGTTTCAAAATAAGCAACAAATGATAACATAACAACTGCTCTTTATACGTCTTTTTTTGAAATATCAACACAACTGGGAAGTTATCAGCAGTTACCCCTCTCCACGCGTTTGCCTCAAAAATAGTGTAAGCGACATTTTCCCCGAACCAAAAATTGATCTTTTGCTGAGTAGGCTTATTACTTTGATTTGGTAAGATAAAAAGTAGGGGTTACCATGCGTTTTTAGAAGTTATATTGGTTGGTTTTGACCTTAACTTAATCGCTTTGGGGGTTATTTACAATTTTCCCCATCCCCTCCTCGGTCAGTTTCACTATTGCTTCACTCAACGCGGAGTACTCTGGGATATCCACAATGGCTAACAGTCAGAGAAAACAACAACACACGGAGGAGAGCAAAAACAGAAAGTGAAGCAGAACATTTCATGGACTCTAAGGAAAACAAATTATACTATTTCATTCAACTGGAGCTTCTCCGTCTCAAACATTTAACAAAAATTTTTGGAGAAGAGCAATCTCCTTTGTATTAGAGATTACTTCCAGCGCACATGGAGTAGTATGGCGAGCTCAAGATCCACAGCTGGTGCTGTAAACAAACTACTGTACTGTAGTGGAAAATAGTCGACAGGGACTCTAAGACAGGTACTCCTTCAATCGTTTGCTTACCTGGCCTGTACATGTCCTCAAGATTTTTTGAACTGTAGATGTAATATGGATTGTAAACCTTCTATCGTTTTTTTATCATTTTACCGGGTACCTCGGTCGAATATGTTATTAAACTTGCATACATTTAATGAGCTTATATCTGTGCTTTGCGCTATCTATTTCGGGCTTTGCCACAAGTGTCATATGACATAATTGATTTGCATAGACTCAAGTTCCATACATAAGCTCTCTTTTAAAAAAGCTGAATAGTCTGAAAGTAGTTGTACCGATGAGTTTATGTACCCTCATATATACACTGGGCTATAACGATCATTTTATATATTTCGTTTTGATTTTTTTTACTGTAGCATTCTGTGTCATGATCATTCACTATTCTTAATTAATTAATTTTAGATTTAACAGTGTCTGTAAAACCTAAGAAAGTCGGAATGGAAATACTTTATTTTACCTTCCATCTTCAGTTTGTAAACAGCCAAATGGCAGCTATGTCTAAATGTCCAGCTTATGTGTGGCGTGAAATTGAACCTTAAGAAATACTATCTACACGACAAGCTGCCAATGAGTCAATAATTTCAATGCGTAGTAATGCCAAAATGCTTAAATAACAATGATAATAGTAAAAAGCATAACAGTTTTTTACCATTTTTTCCACGATAAAAGCGTTTCCTTTGCGGTCCGCAACTATTTGTGAAGCTGCGATCTCAGGAATCCAAGCAATCTTGTGGTAGTTTTTTTCTTGTTTGTTCAACAAATGAAAGCCTCGGACTCTCAATAAAAGGGACATCTGCATGTACTCGACCGCTTTAAGTCTATCTTTTGGTGAATAATTACATAAAATCTTACAAAATTAAAGAAATATTCGGGCAAGTGTTTATAGCCGTTTAGCCGATAAAACGTGATGGACGCGAGTGAAAGGTAAGCTTGCAGTTTCTCGGTTAGGCGGAGGACTTAGAGCTATTTTTCTTCTGATTTACTGATCCTTGCCTATTAAGGGATTTTTTAATACCCAAGCTCCAAGCGTAACATCTTGAAGCAATAACTTTTGATGTTTTGGAATTGATTTTTGTTTGACTAGAAAATGTTCGGTCAGATCGATCGTACGTAGAAATAGCAACATGCGCATACTTCTTCGGTTTTCAAAGAACTGACAAGGTAAATATAACTTATTTTTCATCTGTTGAAAAACGACGCATCTTTTCCACAAGAAATAACTAGAACCTCCCAGACTTACAGGAGACAAAACCAGTCCGCGTGCCCTGCGTGTTGCGCATTTCTTTCGCGTCGCGCGCGACTACCTTGGCATAATAATAATAATCATCTTTATCGAGGAAACTTTTTCATAAAAGATATCGTTTTCAAAAAGGACCTCAAAACTAGATATATATTGTAAAAACAAAAAAGCTATAAAATTGCAAAGGGATTAAAAAGATACAAAAAATGCATAAAAAATTAAAAATAAGTATAAGTAAAAATTAAACATAACTGAGTAGCTATATTAAAAACTTAAAAACATTACGTTTAAAACTATTTACATTCCTTGAGTCTTTGATCGTCTGACTGAGGGAGTTAAAATCGGAAACGGCATGATATTGTGTTCTTTGCTTCCCCCAATTTCTTTTGACACGTGGTAATCTAAAATTGCCTTTGTTACGTGTAATATGCCTATGAAGTACGTCTTGTCTAATCAAGTCCATATCGTGATTAATTAGGCCATTGATGCATTTGTATACGTGTACACACCTTCTTTGAAATCGCCTTTTCTCTAGAGGCAGCCACTTGAGAACGGCTAATGCCTCAGTGGAGGATGTGTACAATGGTCTATTTAAAATAACTTTAGCGGCCTTATTTTGCAAAACTTGCAAACTAGACATAAGGGTAATATTATGTTTATGCATGCGCAGAAAATAGGCGCAGTAACAATAGTGGGCACCGTACTTACCTGTGTACTACGATAAAATTTTCAAACACTGACTAGAATCCTCGTCGATAAGATTACGAGTTAGTTTCTTCATCGCCTTCGTTCACAAATAAACACAGTTTAACAGGTTGAAGGCCAAAGTCAACATCCAAGTCTTCAAGGTTGACAGGCGTCTTATAACTTTATTTAAACCTTTCTTCCGAGGTAAAGAGATTTAGAGCTCCGAAATGAGCATTTTCTTTTAAAATTTTGGTCCGTATAGCAGGTTATGGACCGCAAATTGACCAATCGCATGGCGAAAACAGAGTCAGCCATATAATAATATTAATTAATGGAGCGTTTCAGTATTTTGTGGAAATAACCACAACAAGTTGTTGTACATATTATGGCATAGGACGCTGTTGGAAAACTAAAACATCATAAAACATAGTGGCCATTTTAGTGTGATATCTGAACACCTCCGAATTATGAAACTATTTTTAGCAGGAAGAAGTGCGAACAAATCGCACACTCGCTCTGACATTCATTTGACCTCACTTCATATAAAACCGTATATCTGGAAATCATAGCAATCATCTGGCTTCCTTAAACTTAAAGGGAACCTCCACTCTTACTACAGAATAAGTTTAAATCGAATAAAATAATGTTGATAAACAAATTTGTTCGAAATTTGTCCTTAAAAAAAGTGTTTATATCAGGAAAAGTGAATTTTAAAATCGCTTATTTTCA